TCGACTATAAATGAATTTTGTCACGAGCGACATGACGCAATGCCGCATTGCGCCTCAATCCTATGGTGATTCAAAATGACGTTCAGCTGCGCCGGAACATATATATATATAGGATATATTCAAATTGGAGAACAATTCATTTCGTGAACTGTGTGATCTCGCGGTTTCTCAGATATATGGAAATTTCCTTAGAGCAGTGCGTTGCACAACCCCTTGCAGATTGTGAACGTAGGGGGGAGGGGGGGGTGGGATGCTAGGCAATATAAATTCAAATCAGTCCCTGTTTTCTCACACAACAAACTTGGAGAAACTCGCTAGTGGCTTGGTCTCTAGTAGTTACTCTCCCATCACACCCACCTATGCAAGTACACAGGGGAAGGGGGTCGAGGGGGTTATATCCACCTTTCCAACCTACTCACCCTTTTCCTGGAATACCTAGCACCTCCAAGAACTAAGTACCAAGAGACCTATACCAATTACCAACCATCTAATGAAGATATGCGACGGAACAAACATTCCTACTGCTTCTGGTATACTATCTGATTATTTCCTGCTGTGTCTAATGATTATTTATTGTGTCGTTCATACATATATATACTTATTAGAAAAAATTGTTTTTTTATAAATTATTTACAAAAATTAGTTATTTTTTTACTAAATTATTTGTGGAAATAATTTAGGAATTGTTTTTTTTTATTACAATTTTTGTTCTAATACAAAAGTTGGTGTTAAATTATATATATATATATATATATATATATATATATTGCATTTCATATTTTTGACAATGAAACTTATTTTATCCCCTCATGATTGGAAATTTTTTTCCTTTTTTTCTTTGATGAAAGTTTTGAATTATAATAAATAATGTTCATTGTACGACGTTTTGTGTTACCGATAGTGAACACTAGGAGCGCTAAATTCGCGTATCATGGCAAATTAAGTTAAAAACTATATCCATTAAAAGAAAGTAGTTAAAATATGTTCATTTTAAAGAATTTTATTAGAAATAATTATTTTTTAGACGAATTTTTATTTTTCGAATTTATATTTGACAGAATTTCTTCTTTAAACAAATTTTTCCTTAACAAAATTCTTATGTATCGAATTTTTATTGTACAAAATTTTTATGTATCGAATTTTTATTGTACAGAATTCTTAGAACGTCGAATTTTTATTTGTCCAAAATTGCAAATGTCCGAACAAACAATCGATTTCGGCGCGATTTTTAAAATTCACCAATCACGATATTCTTGGTAATTTTTGATTGGTGGATTTTAAAAATTCGTTCGGCCATTTGCAATTTCGGACAAATAAAAATTCATTATTTTAATTAAAAATCATGCGCTTCTAAAATAACAAATAGAAAAATGTAAAAAGTGTGCATTATTTAAAAAAAAAAATGGAAATTTATTATTAAAATAAATATATATTCCATTATATCAAAAATAATTACCAAGGAAATGGACATATATTACGACGTATACATATACAAAATGGCCAAAAATTAATTAAACATAAAATACGTTCACTGGGGCATATTTTTCATTTTACAGGGTCTTTAATGCCTATTACGATTTCCATAATCTTGCAAGGTACTTTGAACGCTTTCTCTACGAAGGAAAGGGGAATTTCGCAGAGGTTAGAAGGGTTCGGGGACCTGTGGGAGGAGGAGGGGGGGGTGGAAGTTTTAGGAGGATGAGACGATGAAAACGAGGGGCAAGGAGGGGGGGAGTTAGGAGGCGAGTACACCCTTATAATATAATAATATACGCTAGAGAAGGTTCGCTTATATGGTATCTAGCGCTTCGTTGGTAGTCCAGAAGTTGTTGGAGATGAAAGTAGGAGAGTGGGGTTTTGGTGGGATGCAAAATGGCCGCCCACGTTAATGCCCTCTTAATATTTAGGGATCTTGTACGTCTAGCATCCCTGAAGCCGAACGCTATGCTACAGCCCATCCTAAAATCCACTTTACTGCCCCATTAGGGTAAAATATTCCTGGTACGATGTTCCTCATAGTCTTAAGATGTCGATTTCCCTATTTGGAAGAAAAAAAATGAAAAAATTTACAAAAAAAAAGGAATTTTCTGCTGATATATTAAGCAGAGAGTGTGACACAAACTTGAAACTATTTAATTTAATTTTTAATAATACAAATATTATTTGAATAATAAAATGAGACTTTTGTTACTTAAAATTTATTTCTATAGAGTTACAGATAACTGATAATGTAGTATTATTTTTTTTCTTGCAAAATTTATTTGGCTTATTACATTTTATTTCATTCGGTTTTGTATAGTCTGCAAAATTAAAATTCATCAATGTTAATTAAAACCACATTCTATAGAAAGAAATAAGCAAAATAATTATAGGTTATGTTTATGATAGTTTGGAGTCAATCATAAACATAACCTACAATTTTTGTTTTTTGCTTCCTATGTCATTTTTTAATGAATATATTTTTTTATTTTTAATTATTAATTAGAAATAATTTTAATAATAATAGTAATTAATTTTAATAATTTTTAATAGAAATAATTTTTTTTTTATAAATTATGTAAAATACACATACGTATTAAAAAAAAAATTTCAGTTATAATTTAACGTGGTGTGCAATATCCAAAATGTCCAAATCGTGGTTGTTGATTACAAAATCCCGAACAGCAGATACCAATACTTCCGTCAGGAAAACATTTGAGTCCATTCATAAGGCATGGATCAGAAATAGTTTCAACAATTAATGTAGTCAATAACAGAAAAAATATGCTGTATAACTTAACAGTCATTTTGAAAATTTGGATAAATTAAAAAAAAAATTTTTTTTGTTTAAAACAACTAAACTTTGGAAATAAAGAAACAAAAAAGAATGAAACTATTTTTTAACAATGACTTCATTTATATATAAATGCTTCAGGTAAACATAAGGTAATTTTTCTCTTATATATGTATACAAATATTTTTAAAAATAAGACGGATAATTTTTTAATAACAATAAGGAATATTTTGATTCAATAAAGTCGGAAATAAGTATTATTGTTGTTGTTAATATTCAGAAATAATTTTTTTTATCACAGATATTTACGTTTAATTTATAATACCATTTATGATAAAGAAAATGAAAGAGAATAAGAATACTAATACACATTTATTTTTTTAAAAATTTTTATTAATTTTTAGGGGTTTGTGGCTGAGGCCCGAAAGCATTATAATTTCGTTTTGGCTTCCGTCCGTCTGTCCGTCGTACACTCGTATGGTTTCCATGGTAACAGTTATAGCAACCGTTATTAAATTTATCATTTTTAACAAAAAAAAGAGAATAAATAGAAAAGAAATAAATAGAGGATAAAATTAATTTTTACATATTGTTTATTTATACATTTTGAAATATTTTGCAATATTGATTACAGTTTTGAAATAATTTTTTCCAATTTCCATATTATATTATAATAATGATTGGAAAAATGTTTTTTTTACTTTTTACTGCATTTACCAGTTTTCTGTCCTTTCTTCTGGAGGCAAAAATTTGAGCAACATGAACCTAAACTTCCATCAGATTGACATTTCTTTCCATTTGCAATACATTCGGCAATAGCAGTAGGTGCTATAAACATAATCATCATTGCTATTATTGTCATCAATAATCCCAATGATTTGAAACCGTTCATTTTATGGTTTTATTACTGTAGAAAAAAAAATAAATTCTTTTTTTATACAAAAATATAATTTAATATATATTTGAATAAATTTATTATTTAATCTTTGTTTTATTATAAATTATATATAAATAATTTTCTTACTGTAATTTGCAAACGAACTCAATAGAAGATACGAAGGGAAATTGTAGATTACTAGATGTATATAGCCATTTTATACCAATTTATGTGCGAGAAATTTTTTTTTTTGTAATTTTAATTTTCCTCCTAGTTTATTGTTTCAAATGATTAATGAATGTAATAGTAAAAATAGAAAATTGCACTTCTTAGAAATATGTTTCTACTATATTATTTTTATTTAATCTAACCATCTGTGCGAAAAGTTTAAAAATCAACTGTGTGTTCTGAGTATATACATCAAGTTATAATTATATATATATTTGCTATCAAATGTAAAAAGAAAGAAAAAGCAGAAGAAATACATTGAAAAAAAAATTTATTGATACAAATAAAAATTATTTGATTCAAGTAAATATTTATTTGATAATAATCGAGTAACCAAAATGATTTGAATCAAATAAATTTTTTTTCAGTATAGTTTTGAAAAAAAAAATTAACCGCAACGTTTTCTTGTATAACTCAAATATATTTATTAATAAAAAAATAATTCAGTTAAAACATTTTTGGGATTAAAAATTAAAATATTTTACCAATTCTGGAGAGTTAATTTATCATAATCAAATAATGAATTGCATTTGTTTAATTATTTGCTCAGTATATAAAGACTTCTTATTTTTTGATGTTTTACATTAATGTTCTTAATTTTTACTGCATTATTGCATTTACGGTTAGTTGAAATTTTTTTCATTTAGTATTTAAACCTAATTTGTAAGTATATAATAATTTTTTTATCATATAAAATAATATTTCTAATAAAGTAATTAATAATCGATCTTAAAAAAAAAAATAATAATTGAACGTATATTGATTCGGAATGATATGGAAAAAATAATATTATATTACATATAATTTATATTACATATAAATAATTTTTTTTAAATTTTACAAATAATTTGATAATTTTGGATTACTAATATTGCAGAAATAAAAAACCAAAATGTTTAGTTTCAAATCAATTGAATTATTTATAATGCTGATCGTAGCAATCATTATGTTAGTGGCACGTTCCACTGTGGCAAATTCATGTCTTTCAAATGGACATACATGTAAAATTGATGGAAGTATGGGTAATTGCTGTTCTGGATTTTGTTATCATCAACGACATTGGCCATCTGGATATTGTATAAAAAAAAATTCAATATCTATTTTATGATAATTTTATTCTTTTAACTATAATTATACCAGTTCTTATAATATTATATATTATAGAAAATATACTTTTAACATAATAAATAATTTTACTTAATTTTACTCAATAAAAAAGTTTTGTGCGTGTTGTTTCAAGTGTATATGCATCAGTCTTATCAGAATGTTATAAATAAAGAAATGTCATTTTTTTATCAGCACTCCATTAAAACGGTTTATATTATTGTTATATTCTAAAATTATAGGGAAAAATTCATAAATAAAATTTTTGATGATTTTAAAACGAATGTTAATCATTTTATTTAATTGTTTACGCAATAGTTTTTTGTCACTATGAAATTTAAATAAATTTTTTTTTTAAATTTCAAAAAATGTATATCTAAAAAATAAGGTAAGATAATCTTCATTGCGCCACAATTTCATATGTTTAAACAATTAAATAAACATTTATAATCTAAGTTTGTAAAAATTTGTAATTTTAAGAACGAAGACAAACAATATGTATATAAAAACCGTGACCGAGAGCACCAATTTTTTTTTGTTCTTATAATTTTTGTGATATAACCGGATAATAAGGTAATGTAATTTTTAATTCAGTAAAAATATTTAAGTCAAGTTTGCACTTGATAATTTTATTTTTTTTTGTAGATAAAATTTGTTTCTAAACACCATGGTCAATTTTAAATTAATTGGATTATTAATGATATTTATAAAAATCATTATGTTGATGAACTTCTCAGATGCGCAATGTATTGTGAATGGTGGTCTATGTAGCCCTCATGATACAAGAACTTATTGTTGTGGAATTTGTCAATTAGAACCACCAACTTATACATATGGAATCTGTATAAACGGATAATATTTATGTTCATACTTATAATCATACAAATAATAAAATTATATAAAATAAAATATGCGAATATTATTTGATTTGATTCTTTTGCTTTACTATACTGTTTTTTTTTCAAGTGCGGTGGGATTCCTTACTTTCAATTCTTTTTTTGCTGAACAGTTCTTTAAAATAGAAATTTTCTATTAGGCGCCAGCGGTGGGATTTAAATTTTTCATTATGCTTTAGATGCTGAACATTTCTTCAAAAATTTTCAATTAGGTGCCAGCGGTGGGATTCCTTAAATTTAACACCTAGATATTAGGATTATTCAATTTCTGTTTAATAGAAAAGAATAGATGATTAAAAATTTATCACCTTAGAGGGAAAATTTATTTCATTTCATTTTGTTTTAAATACATAAGTTATAATATATACTGCAAAGTGAAAACAAATATCTATTAAACTATAGTCCAACATCTCCTATTTAACCTCCAAAGAGAGAAGTATGCAGACCCAGACATGGATTTGGGGCAGAATAGAATCCACTACACTCTCATGCGGAGGCATATATTGAGAACTATTCGTGGCATCTGAAAAGTCGGAGATTCGAATAGTCTAATGGTACCGAACCGGGTATATATATATAGGTACCTTCTTCGATGTTAGAAACCACGTAGGTATTAAGGGAGTTCTCCAAAGTCTATGCTGACGGTGTCGAGGTATGGGAGGAATAAGAGGGTGGTTGAAGAAGAGAAAGAGAGATAGAGAGAGAGAGAGAGAGAGAGAGAGAGAGAGAGAGAGAGAAGGAAAACAACCTAAGGGTGGAGGTTAGTTTGGAGGGGTGAACCCGCGAGTTGAGGGTGGAAGTAGAAGCAGCCGAGAGAGAGTCTAAGGTAGATTATATTATTTCTCCGCCTCTACGGAACCCGACGGTGTGGCCCGCCATTTTGTGAATGTTAAATCATTTATTGATCCAAGAAGGTGCCTCCTTCCACTTTGGGTGAAAACCATCCGACGACCTCCAACGAACCTTTCCACCCTCTCCCATACCTACTTGCCTAGGGTATACCCGAGCGACGTCTGAAAGGGGGGTTAAACATGGCCCGATCCTTATTCCGCGAGGCGAATTTATATACCTCATACTCAACCAAAACTTATACCACGAAAGAGTTTCATATAGATGTAACATATTCAGAGAATTTAGAATTTCGTACATCAGAATGAAGAACAAATTTATTGCCTCGCGGGGGTTACCCAAATCATTTTCACCCTCGAAAATCCTCTTGAGTTACAAGGGTACAAGAAATTGGCTATATATAATACAGTCAAGAAGGTTCAAAGGAACTGAATTAAGGATTTCTTTAACATGCAAGAAGGATCCATTGCGGATTTTGATGTTCTAAAGGATGAGATAATGGAAAATTTCTAAATTATCAACTGATGATGAATTATGAAAATTTTAAAGAAGTTGTTTTAATTATAAAAAATGATGAAGAATATAAGATAAGAATGATAAGAATATAATGTAGTAGAAATTTTCTATTATAGGTGCCAGCGGTGGGATTTCTTAAATTTAACATTCTTTTATACTTTACTGCTGCGCAGTTCATCAAAATATAAATTTTCTATTAGGTGACAGCGGTGGGATTTCTTATATTTTTAACATTCTTGTTTACTTTACTGTTTTTTATCAAAATAGAAATTTTCTATTACGTGACAGCGGTGGGATCGAATAACGTTCTGAAAATGATTTGAAAATATCATTGAAACATTAGGTATATTTTTTTGCACACTGGGTTTATAATATTTATAATCATTAGCATTAAATTCTGTAAGCATTAAAATTAAATTAAAATTGACAACTCTCTTGTGCAAAATATTAATAAATATAAAAGATTATTAACTTCAATATAATTTTGATGCTTTTATATATTTCTATTAAAGATATCCAATAATCCAACAAATCTCTGAAATCCAACAAGTCTTGCTTCGTGTATATATGTGGCGGGATTAAAGAGATGTGGGGATTTTCCTCATGTGGGGAAAATTGTCAAACAATCTAAAGGACCAATATTAAAATATCTATTTAATATCTCAATAAGTCTCAAAATGTTGATGAATTTTCAAAATGTTCTTTAAAATAGCAAAATAACCAATTTTTATCCTCTTCTAAAAAATATAACAGCATAGTGAAAAAATATACAAAGCAGAAAAAGGAATTTTTATTTCTTTGTATATTTTTCAAGAAATCATAAAGTGGACAACTTTCATGTTGCATCTTTTGAATATAAACACATATATATAGATTTCAAGAAAATAATGATATTCGAACGCGGTAAAAAGAAGTGCGATGAAAGGGTTAAAAATTAGAGTCGCGCACGCTCCTAACTGATGTAAAAAAGAATTTTTCCGCGCAGAATCGTAAAAATTCCTTGGTAGACAACTGCGAGGGTGTAGAGGTAAAGGGGAAAGAATAGAATGGAGTTGAAAAATAAGGGCGAGGTCAGTACGCCGCGAGAGGTGCGTAAAAATTCACGCTAATTCCGCGAAACCGTCTTAAATTCCATTGCATATATAAGAGATATGCATATATAATTATATTTTTAATTTTCGTTGCCATTACACATATTGATCAATTTCTATACTTAAGATTATTATACAGTTAAATTTAATTTTCATTTTTCCATTTTTTTTATTTCCTTTTTTTGCATTTCCCTTCTTTAATTTGAATATTTGTTTATTTAACCCGTCAGCAGTCGTGCTGTTTTTAGTTTAATTATTTATTTATAAGTAAAATTTTGATTTTTTTTTACAATTCTCATTTAATAAAAAATATTTTTTAATTATTCTCGACGACAATTTTATGTTTTACAATCTTTCAAAAGTATAATGTGTCTCTTATAAATTAATATATATAAATATACAATTTGGATTAAATTATTATGGAAAAACTGTAAAAGGTGAGAAAATTAAAAAAGAAATTTTAATCATCTATTATTAATTATGGATCAAAATCACAAGGATTAATTTATAGTACGGTTAAATAATAATTGGTTTGTAATAAAAATAAATCAATTTTTTAAACCATTAAAAAATTGAATTTTTTAAATATCTAAAAAAAGAAAGAATTACCAAAAAAAAAACTAGGTAAAATATTTGTGTTTCTAATCATGTATATACATATAATTATAGTTCATATATACGCGAAGGATTTTGAAAAGCGCTCGTTAATTTGAGAACTATTTCCCGTGGAATTTGAGACTTTCAGTGGTCAGAGCAAGCGGGACACGAAATCTGGGAGGCTGTTGAAATTTCTCGGATGAACGTGTATTTCCCCGCACCAAAACTCACATTCCTTTCTGGTGAATAACAAATAATGTGTCGACCACACTGATTCCCGGTTAATTCGCAATATGCACTTCAACGCGAGAAATTCATCGATCGTTAAATCCGCATCATCATTTACTCATTTCACATATATATATCATATATACCTACTAATTATCATCCCTTATATATATTGTGTCGAGATCAATAATACAATTTCCTCTCAAATTATTCAAAATCATTCAAAATACTTGAAATTTTCATTTTACACTCATGCAATTCAATTATTATTTATTTAATAAAATAAAAAAAAATGAGATGACAAATTTAAAAAATAAGATGTCTTATTTATTGGATAAAAAAAAATTTATAATGTAGTTGGTATATGTGATGAATATAGGAAAAATACCAATAATAATATATTTTTAATATAATTTTGTAAAAAAAAATTAGTTTCAGTAAAAACATTCATTTGTGTGATGAGTTAGGAAAAACACCAATAATAATATTTTTTTATGTTACATTTCATAAATTACCCAAAGAATTTGATAAAGTTTCAAAAATTGTTTTCTGTTAAAATAAATTGTTATGTGCACACAGAAAAAGTTTGGGATTAGAGTAGATTTTTAGGTTAGAAAAATAAAAACATGTGTTCTGTCGACTGGAACGGTACTGCCAACTTAAATAATAGCGCCAAAATTTGAAAATTTATGAAATTATTATTATTTAAATAAATAATAAGTATTTTTTTTTGCATAAAAATTGAATAAATATTCGAATAGGTAAAGAAAATATTATGTTGAAATATGAGAAAAAAATAATTGTAATTAAAAATCACTTTTCAAATAAAGTTTAAATTTTTTTTGTGTATTTGTGTAAAGAGTCGTCATCGAATTTTTATCAAAACAGAAAAATTCAACGACAGTTTTTGTAATTTAGTAATGTTATATATAAAATTTTAAATCTGGTAAACGTTTGAAGGTGAAACCATTTACTTGCGACAAATATATACATATAGAGAGTTTTAGAAATAAATGTAGAGTGATTTGGTGAATATCTCGTTTTCAGTGTGTTATATAGTATTATAGGGTTAAAAAGGGGGTGGGAGGGTGGCAGGCGCTATTTCGCTTTGAAATTCGTTCAACGACGGCAGCGACGGCGGCGGCGAATCGACTTTCTCTCTCTCTCTCTCTTTCTCTCTCTCACTCTCTCTCTATATGGCTGGGGCAAGAATTATCCCGGCAAAGCTCCAACTTCGAGATAAGCCGTCGCGCGCTTCCCGGGGAAAATGCAGGATTTCAATTTGGCGAAGTTCTGAGATGAAGGGAGAGAGCGCCATACTTTGGGAGGCCCCACCCCTCTTGAGCCCCGAGCAACGGCCTGGGGTTGAGAATGATATAGAAGCGGAGGCCGCCATTTTGAATTAGCCGTGCTTAGAAGAGAACAGAAGGTGAAGGGTTGAGGGGGTTGAAATTTTTATAGATGTCGTTTCCTCGTTTTAATAGTCTACATGACTCTTATTGTTCCATTTCAAATATAGAATTCCTTCAAAGTTTAAAGGAAATACAAATGCATATATGTGAGACGTGCTCTTAAGAAAGAAATCTAAGAATCAATCAATTTTAGGTTATGTTTATGATCATTTTTATTATAAAAAAGAGGGACCTAAGAATCAATAAATTTTAGGTTATGTTTATGATCGTTTTCTTTTTAATTACAAAAGATAATAATAATAATAAAAATATTAATAATA